CAACCTAAGCAACAGTGGACAATGCGTTAACCACGATGCTGCTGGTGGTAGATTCAGAATTATTTTGCCACAGTGTTTAAAATGCTTTGCTGCTCCATGGTGGCATGAAGAGTACAGCTCTTAGGACACAGTTACACACCATCTTGTCTTCTAAGGCAATTGCTGCCTCTGGCCATGGATTACTGCTACCACTTCACTTGTGCACAGAAACGAGTATACGAAGCTGTACTTTAAGCCAGGTCACTGAAATAACGTGAATAAAACATAATTCTTCAGCAATGCTGGTCCTGCAATTCATATCACTTCAGTGATCTAGTGTTCAGCACTTTGTACAGTGCTGCTACAGTTGCCTACCTAGAGGGTAAGCAGTGAGAAACAGCCAAGAATGACAAAGGGAGGGGCAGGAATTTTTAAGCCGGTTTTGCTTTTGAAGCAATCTGTAAATGAGCTCAGAGCTGGCTTTGGGGCTTATGAGGGCAATAAACCATCATGGTTTGTCAGTTACGCATTACTGTTGGGTCACATACTATGGCATAAGAGCAATTATGGGGTTCCCGTTGCCTCATAGAGCAACCTCTCATTTTCTGCCCATTACAAAATAACATCCACATTTTTCCTGAAAGTCAGAGGGCTTTATGAAGACTGATACCTTGTAATTATTCTTGGACAGTTTTGTTAATCACCTCTTCTCCATACCACAAACGTGCTCAGTGTTGTGACACGCTAAAAGCTGCTGGACTTCAGCCAAACCCTTCCCAGAGTACTTCTCAGTTGGAAGGCTCTTGTCTTTTGACGTTGAGGGATCACTCGCTGGGGGGTTGCAGCAGGCCTGTATGTCCCCCAAGGCTGCTGACAGGGTCACGTTTGGCAGCTGAGAGTCACCCCCAGCTGGCCCTCTCCTCAGTCCATGGGTTCGAGTGGACCTGGGGTTTTTACCCTCTCACAGAAGCCTCAAGTAAATATACTGTAGTAAACAGAGAAATGATATTACAGATGTGAGCCAGCTCTACCAGCATGAATCAAAAATAAGCTTGAAGACTGATCTTTTTAATTAAACCCAAATCTATGCTAATGTTGTTTCTCTTTTTTGCTTTTGTCCAGGGCCTGTAGAGATGCCAGCTGAACCCTGGGTGAAATTTCCAGCAGCTTTGGATATCTTTCGATTTCCACTGGGGGGGTAAAGCTTTGCACTGTCACTCTGTTGGCCGAGGATTACCAAAAGGCAGAGGGCTATGACCATGCTCCTCCTGCAGTCTTCAGCGTTACAAGTCCCAGATGGCTTTTTGTCTGCCTTGTGCTTCCAGAGCAACAGCAAACAAGTGGAAGAAGGGACCAGAAATTCTACCACCATTTTTCTGAAGATTAAGCTGAACAAAAAGTTGCAAATACTTGTACAAAAGAAGATTTACAGATTAGGAAGTGGCAATTTAAAACAGAGACATATAATGAAGTGTGCAGTATCAAATAGGATTTTACTCCTGTCATTCAAGACTTCCTCAGAGTGACAAAATAGAGTTTGTTTCTGTCTTTCATTCTCCAAACATTTTGAATTTATCTCCTCATAGAGTAAAAATGTTCTTTTTATGCCCTACATTATGAACTTTGTGTTGTTTGGGGTTTTTTTACTATTTAAACCAAAACAATTATGTGATGTGATCATTCACCACATATGATTCCTCAAGCCATAAAAAGTTAATAGAAGAAATGGTGTAGCTGAGCTATAATGACATGAATAATAATAACATCTTTGTGTTTTCTCAGGAGCTTTCACCTCAAGGCTATAAACTCTTTTACACACGCAAGTATGTAGGCTACAGTAAGCCTGGCTGTCGTGGTTTAACCCCAGCTGGCAACTCAGCACCACACAGCTGCTTGCTCACTCCTCCCCCCACCAGTGGGATGGTAGAGAAAATCGGGAAAAAAAAATTAAAACTCCTGGGTTGAGATAAAGACAGTTTAATAGGACAGAAAAGGAAGGGAAAATAACAACAACAATAATAAATGGAATATACAAAACAAGTGATGCACAATACAATTGCTCACCACCCACTGACCGATGCCCAGCCAATCCCCAAGCCATGGTGTCCCCTGGCCAGCTCCCCCCAGTTTATATACTGGGCATGACATCATACAGTATGGAATACCCCTTTGGCTCATTTAGGTCAGCTGTCCTTGCTGTGTCCCCTCCCAGCTTCTTGTGCACTCCCAACCTCTGCTGGCAGAGCAGTATGAAAAGCTCAGAAGTCCTTGACTTAGTATAAATACTTAGCAACAACTAAAGCATCAGTGTGTTATCAACATTATTCTCATACTAAATCCAAAACACACCTTTATACCAGCTACTAGGAAGAAAATTAACTTTATTCCAGCTAAAACCAGGACACTGGTGCGCTAAAAAATAACTTGGATTTAATTTGTTTTAAAAAATGAGAAAGCAGGATGATTTGCTGAAATTCTTAATCCAGAAAATAATGTAATGAAGAGCATGAATAGCTACTGTACTTGCACACCTGGTTTTCTGGATGAGGCCCAGGTGAGCAGGGAAGCCAGTGCCAGGTACTGAATCAGGAGGAGCCAGCTGTCCCGCTGCTCTGCAGATGTGTTTCCACAGTGGAAAATTCTCTGTCTGTTACCAGCCCTTGCCAGTATTAACACATTTATTTTTTTGACGCTGAGTTTAGTTACATCCTTTAGCTCTTAATGGCACTAACTCAGTGAAACTGTTTTACAATGGCATTCTTGCTGGCTGTTGTTATATCTTTGACAACTGGGGATTGGGATGAAGACCACCACCAGCTAACCTGTAAAGCATTGAAACAAAGTCTTGAGTTATTTCACAAATTTTAATAAATTTTAATGCAAGCCATGGTTTTCCTACATGGACAGTAGCTAGTTTCTGCTTGGCTTCAATCTTTTGGGGAAGAAGGACTGGATGCCAGGCCACCAAAGCCGCTCTATCACTCCTGTCCTCAGTTGGACAGAGGGAGAAAAATATGACAAAAGGCTCATGGATTGAGATAAGGACAGGGACATCACTCGGCAATTACCATCATAGACAAAACAGACTCAGCTTGGGGAAATTAGTTTAATTTATTACAAATCAAATCAGAATAAGAAAAATGAGAAATAAAACCAAATCTTAAAACACCTTCCCTCCACCCCTCCCTTCTTCCCAGGCACAACTTCACTCATGAGTTTCTCTAGCTCCTCCCCACCAGCGGCCCAGGGGGACGGGCAATGGGGGTTGTGGTCAGTTCATCACAAGGGAAACTCTTCCCCTGCTCCAGCATGGGGTGCCTCCCACAGGAGACAGTCCTCCATGAACTTCTCCAACATGGGTCCTTCCTACAGGCTGCAGTCCTTCATTAACTGCTCCAGCATGGGTCCTTTCCCCGGGCTGCAGTCCTTCAGGCACAGACTGCTCCAGCGTGGGTCCCCCGCGAGGTCACAAGTCCTGCCAGAAAACCTGCTCCAGCGTGGGATCCTCTCTCCATGGGTCCACAGGTCCTGCCAGGAGCCTGCTCCAGCGTGGGGTCCTCTCTCCACGGGTCCACAGGTCCTGCCAGGAGCCTGCTCCAGCGTGGGGTTCCCACGGGGTCACGGCCTCCTTTGGGCACCCACCTGCTCCAGTGTGGGGTCCTCCCTGGGCTGCAGGTGGATATCTGCTCCACCGTGGACCTCCCTGGGCTGCAGGGGGACAGCCTGCCTCACCATGGTCTTCCCCACGGGCTGCAGGGGAATCTCTGCTCTGGTGCCCGGAGCATCTCCTCCTGCCTCCTTCTTCACTGACCTGGGGGTCTGCAAGGTTGTTTCTCTCACATGTTCTCACTCCTCTCTCTGGCTGCAATTGTGCAGTTTCTGCCGCCTCCCCCCCTCCCTTCCCCTGCCCTTAAATGTGTTCTTCCAGAGGCACTACCACCGTCACTGATGGGCTTGGCCTTGGCCACTGGTGGGTCCATCTTGGAGCTGGCTGGCATTAGCTCTGTCAGACTATAGGGGAAGCTTCTGGCAGCTTCTCACAGAAGCCACCCTGCTACCAAAACCTTGCCACACAAACCCAATACAGGTCACTGACGGCGAAGGGGAGCTGGCAGTGAGGAGCTGGAGTTACACAGAAACTTGGCGGCTTGTACATGGCGTGCGCCAGCCTGCGGCTCTGCCACAGCAGGGAGCCTGGCAGCAAAGACCATTTCCACCAGCCACCAAGCTGTTAATGTTAGTTCTGTAACCTCAGTACTACATATTTGTGTACCAGTCGGCTGAACGCACGCCTTAATGCCATCCAGGAGATGCCGGTTCTGGGGATGACGTTACCGCCCGGGGTAACGAGGCCTGTTGAGGCAAAGGGAGGGCAGGGGGCAACGCATTACGCCCACAGCCTAGCGGAACTCATATGTACGTAACGGGGCCTCCGAGGAGAGCTAAAAGCTGAGGGCGAGGAGGGGCCGCCAGGCCGCGGGCACCTGCCCGCCGTCCCCGCCGACCGGCCCCGAGCCA